CCTGTCTGGCGTGGGGTTACCTCCCCCCAGTTCCGGCTGTACTCACCGCTGGCTCTGGTTCTGGGCTTGCACAGTCCCCAAGCCCCTCTCGGGTACGGCTATCTTGCAGTCTTTACTGCCAGTGCCCCTCTATTCAGAAGAATACGGCTCACCGGCTCTCCCTGAGCCGGGCCATTCTCCGCGCTGTCTGTACCTGCGGTGCGGCCGCTGCTCCTCAGCTCCCGGGTCCCGTTGGGGTTTCCCCCAGCCCCAGAAGGTCCTCCCGTGCCGGCCGGCTGTCTTTCCCCATGCACGGGTGCTCCAGACGGCTCCCTCTTTGTCGCCACCGCCGCCGCCTTCCGGCTTTTTTCCTCCAGCTGCCTCTGGTGTCCCTTTAATAGGGACCGGAACTGCCTCGAGGCTTCTTCCCCGGCCGCACCTGTGGAGCGTGAGGGTGCCCGGCTGGGCAATTTGGGCCGGGGGGCGTAACCCGGATGGGTTATTTCCGGGTGGTGGGGTTCCAGGGACCCCTTGCTCCCTTCCTCCCCCACATATCCCGCCCCTCAAAACGCTGCCCAGCGTTACTCTTGACTCCTCTCGTCCTGTCTCCGTCTCCTCCCCCAATATCTCTTCGTCACATCGAGACAAAAAGTCAGCGACTGTATTATCCTTTCCTGGTTTATACGCCACACGGAACCAGAAAGGCTGGAGGGCCAGGGCCCACCGTGTAATACGCGCATTGTCCGTCTTAGCTGTGTTCAGCCATCGCAATGGGGCATGATCTGTTACTAGCTTAAACTCCCGCCCCAGGAGGTAGTACCTAAAGTAGTCTACTCCCCAGCGGATTGCTAAGCATTCTCTTTCGATCGTAGAGTACCTTTTCTCATAGTCATTGAGCCGTCGGCTGGCGTAGGCTATTGGTTGCTCCGCTCTGTCCACCTGCTGGGATAACACTGCTCTCAAGGCATAAGCTGAGGCGTCCGTCTGTAGTGTGAAAGGAAGCTCAAAGTTGGGGGTGTGTAACACTACCTCCTGGCACAAAGCCTTCTTGAGGTCTCCGAATGCCTTTACCCTTTCCGCCGTCCATTCGATGCCGCCAGTTTTGTGCCCTTTCGTGGTTTCCACTAGAGGATTCACTATTTCGGCAAACCCTCGGATAAACCGTCGATAATAACTCGCCAATCCCAGGAAGGCCCGCATTTGTTTCTTGGTCTTAGGGG